AGAATGGAAAAGGGAGGGGGGGGGCGGGGGGGGGTGGGGGGGAGAGTTAAGGTAGACTAAAGGAAACTAAATGTACATAGACCCACAGACTTTTTCTGAGCGTCTCAGTTTCTGATTACAGATATATTTGTGATCACAGGTAGTACTGTGGCCACAAGGAAAACACAGACCTGCACAGATTTATGGAACAAATGATACTGTTCCCTTGGTGTTTACACCAGGAATTGACAAGATAAAGCCCACTAATTTAGGTCACCTTAACTATTCACTCATGGAGGCGACTCCATTTCCTATATCCTGGTACTTCTCATCTTTAGGACAAAATTGCACAAAAACAAAAGTATGACATTCAACTCAAACTGAAGATATAAGAAAATTAGAAGAGAATTTAGGTTTTGGTACACATGAATGAAAATGGCTCAAAAACTTACTTTGTTAAAAGAGCAACCAGATTCAGGCAAGAGGAGTAAGGGCGAGTTAACAGCAGCAATGCCACTTTGCCCCTGCCTCATGGACCCCTGCCTAGGAGGGCTCTTTCCATGTCCGGGAAGGCTTTAGGCCAAGAATTTTGATGCCCTAAAAACCAAAATTAAAAACCAAATTTCTCCTATTTAGAAATGGGTGACATTTTATCCAGTGAATAGACAAACACACAAATAGTTATTTTCTTTTTATGACACCTTTGTTTTCCACACTTGAACATTTTGGTGCTTGAGAACTTTTGAATGTGGCTCATTTAACAGCCTACACAGGAACTACTGTGTAATTTGTAGGAAAAACCATACCCAGGGAACTTAATATATTTTATTTCTTTTTTTAAAAGAATCATTTGATTTAACTTTATTATTAGTTTTTTTATTTTTATTTGACCAGAGAGGAACAGAGTGAGAAAAAGAGAGAGAGATAGGGAAAGTGAAAAAGTAAGCTGGCAGGTCTGGGACTCGAACCGCAGTCGGCCATGTGGGAGTCTAGTGTCCTTAACCACTATGCCACCTGCCAGCCTGTAAAGAATTATTTTATTTAACTTTATTTATTTATTTATTTTAATTTGACCAGAGAAGGGCAGAGTGAGAGAAAGAGAGGGAAAGTGAGAAAGCAAGCCACCAGGTCCAGGACTCGAACCACGGTTGGCCAATGTGGGAGTCCAGTGCCCTTAACCACCACACCACCTGCCAGCCCATATATATTTTATTTTATTGTATCTTATAAGATAGTGTACATATAAGTATCCATTTCAATTACATATACAAATATTTCTTTCCAGCATAATAATTTATTGCAATAAATGTTCAAACTTAAATTTGAAAAGATTATAATACATACATATTCACTTGACTCATCACTATACGATATGTTTCTCAATCCTAATCCCTTTTATATGTCAAGATAATTTTCACAACTGGACTCAACTTTAGTCACAATGTTCAGTGAATAAGTTTTTCATATCTCCTGTCCCTATTAACAATGTGTAATATTTTGTCTCAAACCTATTATGTAAGTTAGTAGGTAAAAAAGCTCAGGGATGACAATTTTGTGGTTTATCATCACTGAACAGCATATTTAATATCTAGTTTATGTCATTGCACCTGCGAGAGTTCTGACACTGCCCCACCCAGAGCCTGTGAATGACAGGGTGTCTTTATAGAGCCTGTAAAGGAACTTGTACGGTAGAGAAATCGCTCAATTACTTCGGTGATAAAGTGATAACTGATACAAAGTAAGCATTCATAAATGTGACATCTTAAGGAAAATACAACCCCCCACACACGACACTGCTGTTTCTCATTTCTGTGCATTATCACAACTAAGTATTTATATATATATATATATTTATATATATATTTACATATATACACACACTGTCCTTTTATTAAAACAAGCAACAAGACGGGTCTACCTTTTGAATAAACTTGATGGCCTGGAACAGTTTTTATTGAACTTCATAATCATAATCGATGTCTGCATAATGTCCTTAACCCAAACTGCAGGAAGACCTAGTTAACCATTTCTAGAAGTTTCTACATGTACATACCACATGGCTAGGTCAAATCCAAACTGCCAAAGAAAGAAGCAAGCAAGTGTGCCCTGGAGAACAGACCACTTTGTGCATAAATCCCCCAGACAGATCCTAAGTGCAACAGCACACCAAGAAGGGAGAGGAAAATGCAAACAAAATTATGCTGCTTGATTTTTGCATCCTGTCAAACGGAAAGAACTGCTCTAAGTACTACAGAAAAAAATTGTGCTTAACAGCATAAAAATATGCCAGTAGAGAGTAGGAGGTATGTTTTACTTCTTTCTTACAGATATATTTTTACACACTTACACGATTTATACTTCTCATAGGTTCTAAACACCTTCACTCTATCTGTGCGTTTAAATGAGATACTGTAAGTAAACTGTACCTTAAAGAGTTCAGCATCATATAGATGGCTCAGGAGACCAGGAGGAAAACAAAACAGCACAAACAAAACAATTTTTAAAAAGCTGTAGAGTCAAAGATGCATACTCAGCCTGGGCTGGCTCCTTCTCGAAAGGGTTGCCAAGGGGACGCTCGGTCCTGCCGGACCTATTTTTCACGCCACTACCTTTGACTGGGTGCATCACAGTGCAAGAAAATGCGGGAAGCATCTGTTGAAAATAACACCTGGACCTCCAAGGAAAACCAGCACTTTCTTGCTAGGAACAATCTCAAACATTTTCTAGGGTGCATCCCCCCTTTCCCAGGCTTAACCCTCTTCCTCCGCAGTAGGCGTAGATTTTCTCCTGGTGCTCCCCTCCTTCTGGGCAGAGGCTCCCAGAACCATGGCCAGTGAAGCAGCGCAGGCCGACCAGGGGAGCCGGGGATGACACCAGAGGTTGCCAACGCCAGACAGTGCGCAGACTCCGCGGCGCGCTCCGGACTCTCCACTCGCCTAAACCTGCTCTCAAGTGAAAAGGAGTGGGAGGAGGAGTGCTGGAAGAAGGGCGGGGGACGGAGGGGATCCTGTTAATTCGAGGTCCTGGGGGTGTGGGAGCGGGAGGAGGCATCGTTGGTCCCTCCTCCCTCCTGGAGTCCTGGGCTCCACCTCCTCCGCATGCCCCCAGATATACACACACTCAGCCGCGGCTGGACATGCACACCCAGCGCCGGCTCCAGGCGCGTGCACACGCAGGTAGCGACACTCACCTGCGCCCGTGCGGCCGCCGCTTCCGGAGCGGCGGCCTGGGCCGGGAAGGGGCCCACTGCGCCACCGAAGTAGGGAAGGCTGGAGCAGCCCCAGAGCGGACTTGCAAGCCAAGGTGATGGCGCGTTTTCCTTAAACTCCCCTCCTCCAGCACTTCCTCCCCTTACGCCTGCTCCGCGGTGGCTGCAGAACCGCGAAGTCTGGGGCCCTGGGTGCGGCGCACAGGCGGGTGCACGCTCCGAAGCGAGCGCGCGGAGAGGGGCGCGGCGGCGCCGGCGCAGGAAACTTGGGCGAAGTTAGTTGCAAGTGCCGCCGGCGCGCCTGGAGGGGCTCGCAGCGAGCGGAGCCAGCATGACCCGGGGGATCGTTGGACGCGGTGTCTCTGCGAGCCGAGAGAATTTCTTCTGAGGCCCAGCGACCTGAGACTTGCTCACGCCTCATCCAGCCTCCGTCCTCGTCCCTCCTTCCCAGCGACGGGAAAAGAAGACCCGAGGGACAGGGCCGGGGGGGGGGCCGAGAGAATTTCTTCTGAGGCCCAGCGACCTGAGACTTGCTCACGCCTCATCCAGCCTCCGTCCTCGTCCCTCCTTCCCAGCGACGGGAAAAGAAGACCCGAGGGACAGGGCCGGGGGGGGG